TACTGTATGCTATTTCTATATCCACTACCTCTCTTTTGGTAGCACTTTTCGCTATTTTGTCTACTTTTTCATTTCCTGTTATACCGACATGTGCTGGTATCCATAAGAAAGTCACAGCTAGTCCCATCATTTTCAACCTGTACAGCATTTGTTGTATTTCTACTAATATATCCGGCCGACACTCTGAACCATTATGTTTTAAACTGATTAAAGAAGAGCTAGAATCCGAACATATTATTGTTCTCATCGGTTTAATATCCTCTACCCACTGAACAGCCAATAATAAAGCGACCATTTCTCCCGTATATACCGATAATTTATCAGTGATCCTTTTCCCTACTGACACCCCAAACTCTGGTATGATGAAAGCTACACCGACTCTATCTAACGTATCCTTTGATGCATCTGTATACATTTGCACATATCCATAATATTGGTTAATATAATCAATACAATCATTTGAGTTTATATGATTTTTATTTCTCGTTTTTCTTAGTAATTTCAGATCTACTGACGGTTCTATGAATAACCACCTATGTAGGATTGGCATTGGAACTGTAGGACTAATATTCACTTCATCAAGTTGAACTTCTCTTGTTTTCCGATCCATAATCCAACCAAAACTTTGTCTCTTTTTTTTCTTTTTCCCAACCTGGTAGTAATACTTTTTGAGTCGGGTGATGTCGATCATGACCTTTTAGATTAACCCAATAATTTAACGCCAACTGTTCTCTTCTAATGTTTAGTGGTATTTCTCCCATTTCCACCAGTATTGCTTCTGTTGGCGTTGTTTTAAATGCCCCTGTGATTACTCTTAAAGCTTGATATTGAATTCTATCCAGTTTCTTTAATGATGTATCTGATGCAGAATTATATGCTATGCTTCCATAATCTATTGTTGATCTGATCAGTCCTGTATAAATGATTTTCATAGACTTCCTGTCTGCACCCCAATCTCTTCCTGTCCGACAGCGCATTAAATTCATTATTTTTTTTACATTTATCCACTATTTTTTTAATATGGAATGTCCATGTTAGTCTTTCATCAAACCATACACCTAAGAATTTAAACTGTTTCACTCGCTCAATTACCTGATTATACAATTTTATTTCAATTTTATTGACAACTTTTTTCCTTGTAAAAAGTACAATTTTTGTTTTCTCCACAGACAATTTGAACCCCCACTTAAGTGACCAGTTTTCAACAGTTTTGATAGCCATTTGCATCCTCTTTACAATGAACTCTATATTTTTCCCTCTTCCATAAAGCTCCATCATCTGCAAATAAAGATCGTCCCATCCCCTCTTCTACCTCATCAAATATATCATTTATCATCAAAGAGAAAAGTAATGGACTAACAATGCTTCCCTGTGGTGTACAGTTTTCTCTTCCAAAGTTATGAGTAATCTTGACCTACCTTTACCTGTATTTTTCTGTCTGTTAAAAACTCCTGAATCCATGTTAACATGTGCCCTTTAATTCCCATTTTCTTCAGTTTTATAATGAAACCTGCCCTCCACAACATATCATATGCCTTTTCCACATCAATAAACACAGCTAGAATACTTTCTCTATTAACTTGAGCTGTTCTGATTTCATGTTCCAAACAAAATCGGATCCATTGCGTTCCTACCATTTCTGAATCCACTTTGAAATTTGGACATATATCCTTTCTTTTCTATATAATGTGTTAATCTTTCATGTACCATTTTTTCCATAATTTTACAAATGTTTGATGTTAAAGCTATTGGCCTATAGTTCTCTGGTTGTGTATGATCCTTACCCGGTTTCCTTATTGGTATAATGATGGCTTCCTTCCATGACTGTGGTAATTTACCCTTGTCCCAAACCCTATTATATAATTCCAAAAGGATTTCTTTTGATGATTCACCAAGATTTTTTATCATAATATAACAGATTTGATCCTTTCCTGGTGCAGATAAATTACAACGTCGAATAATACAATTCAGCTCCGTTCTACTAAATGGTATATTTAATGATTCATTTCCACATTCATTTTCTTCTAATCCTGCTCCATTTTCTTTGATGGTATTTTCTCTCCCTCTTCTGCCTTCGGCACTAATATTCTGTGAACTATGTATTGTAACAAACTTTTTTACCAATAATGCTGCTTTATCCTTATTGTCTATTGCTATTGCTTCTCCTTCTTGTAAAACTGGATATCCGCGTTCTTGTTTAATCCCATTCATTCTCTTTATCATTGTCCACACTCTACTCATTTCTGTTTCTCTACCTACTGAACTACAAAATTCTCTCCAATAATCTCTTTTTGCCATTTTAATAGTTCTCTTCACAATACTTTGCAGTTTTTTATAATTCATAAGGTTTTGAATACCGTGATTCCGTTTTAACTGTTTAAAAGCTTTATTTCTACAGTTTATGGCTTTTTCACACTCTGTTGTCCACCAAGGAACTATTTTTTTCTTAACAGCTCCTTTTTTCTTTTTTATTGAAATATTTGCTGCTTCTATTATAATAGAGCATATTGACATGTTCAGTTCATCAATACCTATGTTTAAATCTATTTTTGCCATCTCTCTGTCACAAATACTCCCAAATCTTTCCCAATCAGCCTTGTTGAAATTCCATCTATTTTCTCCCCTCGTATCGTATTTCAGCGCTTCCAACTCCATTTTGGTTGTTATTGGATAGTGGTCACTACCCATCGTCGTTTCTTTAAGAATTGTCCACGTACACATCCCTGCCAGAGAGTCTGAAACTATTGTAAGGTCTATTGCTGATTCTGTACCCTGCATTAAATTAATTCTTGTACTACTACCATCATTTAAGCACACCAGATTTCTATTATCCATAAATTCCTCAATCACTAGGCCATTGTGATCATTTTTATTTCCCCACATTGTATTATGTCCATTAAAATCACCACACCATATCACTTTCCCACCCAGCTTTTCATTAATTTCCTCTAGTGCCCCAACTGACAATTTATTCCCTGGATTGTAATAATTTATTATTTTAATATTCCCCTTCCTTGTCCATATTTCAATGATTATAAATTCCAATTGCAATCCTTTTTTAACCAATCTATAATTTATTCCTTCTCTTATGAAAGTAACACATCCACCTCCCTTACCCCCTTCTCTATCTTTCCGTATGCTGGTATATCCTTTAATGACAAAATCTAGCTTAGCTTTTAGCCATGTTTCTTGGATACATATTACATCTGGTTTCTTTGTACTTTTTTCAATGAACCCTTTAAACTCCTGACCATTCGCTATTAAACTCCTAGCGTTCCACTGTAAAATATTCATTATACTCTCTCCCCTTGTGTTCCTGGTTTCCCATCTCCCCCAAGTATTTTATTAATGTGTTCCCATGTTACATCAGTCATCCCAAAAAAATTTTCTGCTCCTCTAACAATGATCTTAATTTTTTCTGTTTTGTGCTTTACTTGATCTGAGCAATTGATTACATATGCTATGAACAACATGATTTTCTCAACTGTGATTTCTTCCTTTGTGTTTTCTGCCTGGTTTACGCTTGGTTTCATGCTTTGTTGAATTTTGACATTTTCTACTCGTTCTTTTTGTCCTTGCACTTTTTTAAGTGCTTCAGCATAACTGATGTTATTTACTGCCCTCACTTGTTGTATTTCTATTGCCTTCTTTCGTGTTTCACATCCACCATATGTAACCCTGTGTTGACCCCCACAGTTACAACATTTTTCTATGGTATTTTCCCCACATTCTTCATATCTATGTGCTTCTCCACACTTCGGACATCGTATTTGACCTCTGCATACTGCTGCTACATGACCATACCTCGGACATTTGTAGCACCTAAGAGGTGGCGGGACGAAAGGTCTGACTGGGAAACTTAAATATCCTATTTTGACCTTATCCGGTAATTTAGATTCAGTAAATTCCAACATGACTGATCTACTATTAACTCTTTGGCCATTGACATTTCTTAGAAGTCTCATTATTTTGTTGACTTTTACATCACAGATACTTTTTTTAAGCTTCTCTAGATCTTCATCAATTGGGATCCCTGAAATTACTCCCTTCGCCATTTTGTATTCTCCAATGATTTTCTTCTCTTTCACTATCTTCTTACAAATAGTTTCCAGAAGCATAACTTTATTCTTCTGTTCCTCAGTTTTAACAATAACCAACAGATTACCATCTCTGAGAGTCTTCGCAAAATGTACATCCCCTATTTTCTTTTTTATCTCTCTTGATAGAACTATAGGACTTAACTGGACATTTTCGTCGTCCGTTTGGAATTTCAGGATTATTTTAAACTCTTCTGTTACCATCTTTTTACACACCGTTCTGTCATTTTCTTCTCCTGAGATAATATCATCCAAACTGCGTTTAGATTTTCCAGCACCATTTTTCTCTCCTTTCCTATTCCTCCCTCTTCCATTTCCCTGAGTCCACTCATTAATATCCATTTCTTCCTCATCCTCGCATTGAGACGCCATCCAGTCCACTCACACACCAGTTTATGCTCACCCCCCAAGAGTTCTTGGTCCAGTCTAAACCAAAAATACTCTTCTTTTACAAAGGAAGGACAAGAAATCTAACTTCTGACTCTCGCCAACTTCCTGCTTCAGCCTCCTGCAACGTATTCAATCGAGACCCATTCGTCCCAGTCACAAAGGATGTGCACAAATTATTATTATGATTTAAACAGCAAACTCTTCGTAAACACAGCCAACAAAAACTTTCTTTAAATCCTGTTTAAAGCAGACACACGTGAGCCAACAACTCCAGCGTGAAACATCTTCTGTCCTGTCCCAAACTTTGTGTTTTTGAAACCATTAGTGAAAAGGCCAGACTTCAGGGGTATCTGAGGCAGGCTTGAAACACAAGAGTCAGGGTGGCTTCTGGGTAATACCAGATGGCTAGGCCTCAGACTGACGAAGCCTCTTGGATGAGGGGCGAAACGTTTCTTTTTAACAAAAAAAACGAAGTCCAGATGACATGATTCAACCTTTTTTGTTGTTATATACCTGGATGACTGAGAAAACAAACTTTGTATCTTCTGTCCTTCTTGCCTCACAGCACTCTGTTCATCTGGAACACACAAATCACATGTGGGAAATTAGCATGACGCGTGTGAAAAGCATGTACAAATAGCTTTTACCTGAACTACGAGCCATCACCGCTGCTTTCGTTTGCATGCGTCTCTGTGCTTCCACGTGTTCCTCTCACGGAGTGCATGTGACAGTTAAAGTGTTCCAGCATGTCACAAACTGGCACCAGCTGCACTTGAACGCATCATCCGCCTGGACGTAACATCCATGGAAGGGGGTCGTGAAGGGACAAACTACCTACCACTCGTCTTTTGCTTTCACTCGGGACAGAAAAACAAGCCAAATAAGCGACTTAACGCTCAAAACAAGCCAAAACCGCAACCCGCTCACAACATTTATAAGCGACTTTAGAAAAAAAAACAAGACCAAAGTCCCTTATAATAAGCAACTATGGCGGCTACGTTGAGCTGGCCGGACATACGTCACTTCCAGGAAGATTTTCAGTGTAAGAGTCGAAACTCTTCTCGTTTTTCTTCTTCCAGATGTTCTCTCTTCAGGGGTCTCCACAGCGAGTTCTCCTCTGTCCTCACTCCAACTACCTCCATGTCCTCTCTAACTGCATCCATATATCCAGGGCTACATTAACACCTCACTGTACCCTGGGCAACAATCTTCAAGGGCCCCATCATCATGATCCCAAAATCACCATAATCTGGCAAAATACAGAATAAATTACCGTAATACAAGTAAATATACTTCAAATTCTAACTATCAAGTGTATTTTATGTATAAAAATCCAAATGCTCATAGAACTATAAATGCTACTATGTCCTCATGTTGACACAATTAAATCATAAAGACTGAGTTGAGCGCACTTTGAACACGTATGTGTACTTGTTTAGCAACAAATTGGCCATTGGTGTCAGAACCTGTGTAAATAAAGGTTGAATGAAAAAAGAAGCATTTGTAATGTGTGTGTGGGGGTGGGGTGTCTGGGGGGTGTCTGGGGGTCCTCCCCCAGAATAAAAAAAAAATAAAGTAGATGCCATTTCCTGCATTCTGGTGTATTTTAACGGGTTGTTTAACATCTAGTTTTACCTACACAAGTAAACACTTGATTCAATAAGTATTTTAGAGCTAATGGCACAACAAGAAGTAACCTGACCAACAGCTCTCCTTGTGTGAATAGAGGAATAGAGCATGCTCCGCTTCTCTCACACGTTAGTCACAGTCCAAGAAACATAGTGTAGCCAAATGTAACTTGTAGGAAAAAAATCACTAGCCAATATGAAACAATAATAATAATAATCACTCCTTACTGATGGCCTAGCATAAAGAAATATGAACATCATCCATCGTGTTTATTAGTAACTTAAAATACCTCATTAAAAATCCAGTAATGGGCTAGGTCTACTGTTACCCAGTTGTAGGGTCAAGTGACAAACATGTAGCATTAAAATTAAATGACTGTAACTTAGTTGACTTCAAATGTAATAACAAGATTATCAATGAATGTTTGCAACAAAGACCCAACATTTTTCAGTCAGGTCATGTGGACAGTTTCTTTTTTTTTTTTTGTGCTGAAACGTTTTGCCTTCAATCCAGAAGGCTTCATCAGTCAAGGAAACACACAACAAAACTGATTCTTCCTCCAACAGTTTACTCCAAAATGGAACCAACCAGTTCTGCTTGTGATAAGATGGTCTCTTTGGTACGCCCCTCCTCCATTGCCGGCCCTCTTCCTTGTTGACAGTCTGGTCAAACTGGTTGAAAACAACAAAGTCCATGCTCAATAATCCTGATGAAACTGAAGAAGCCTTCTGGACCGAAGGCGAAACGTTTCAGCACAAAAAAAGAAACTGTCCACATGACCTGACTGAAAAATGTTGGATTTTATACCTGGATTATTGAGCATGGACTTAGTTGATTTCAACAAAGTATTCACTGATTATAACAAAGATTCCTTCAAGAAACCTCCCAGTATAAATCATAAAACCAGAATGACTTCTGCTCATTCTAAATTTGTCAAATGGCCTAAATCTCCTAAAGTGAAGGAGAATCATTTTAAAATAATAATAAATAATCTTGTAGCCATGTTTCTGCAAAGAAGATTTAAATTTCATGTTGATTTGTGTGTCTTTTGTCAATCACAAGATGAATCCCTCGAGCAATTTTTTTCATGTCAATACAAAGTGTTTGGTCAGACATCAGAAACTGGATTAATCTCAAAATTAATATTCATTCATTTGATGCTGATGACATTTTACTTTATGTGGATAACTTAAGCTCAGCTTTCTCTGATGCCATAAATAAAGTCGTACTTATAACAAAGTACAACATTCACTGAAGTAAGAGGAGAGATAATAATCCTTCCTTCCTGTTTTATGAATGATTTGAAGTCATACTATTCTTCATTAAGTACAAATAAAAAAAAACTGTAAAACTGCCAGAATCATCTCATAACAAATAAAAACTTATTGTTTTAATTAAAACAACAAGTTTTTCATATAGTCGCGCTCCTTTGTTTTGAATTCCGGAAGATGGATGGAGTGCACAAAGCTGCTACTATAACTGAGCGCGGCCTCTCTTATCCTTTATCAGAATAATAATCTTAGATAGGAAAAGGCGGAGAAACATGAGGGTAGATAGTGGTATTAAAAAAAAGATCTTTCACATCTTGTCTATCAGGAAAATTGTGACCTCTCCCGGGAAGATGGCGCCACTGTGCATGGCCTGCCCTCCACCCCTGTCTGCAGTGATCGTGTTTTTTTTGTTTTTGTCATTTTTCACCTACAACATCGACTCACTGCTGGTTTATGAACGTCATCAACTCCTAAACCTCAGGCTATCTGCCACCAGTCTCGCTTTGTTTGATCATAATGATCATAACTCTGGACCCCCTCTTGAACCCCCACCTCTGCTTGAAGACGTTCCTGTTTACCTCCGCCGTGGTATCCTGCCCACTCGAAGACATCGGTACAAGCGCCGTGGAAAACGGGCTGGCTGTCGTGTGAGGATCAAAGCCTGCCGGGCTGCTGCTGCAGCTTCCTCTTCAACCAAGGAACACATCTTAAATCACCTGTCCTGGCGCTGAGCCGATCCACCTGAGTCCCTCCCGGTCCCATGGGTCAGGTCGTGCTTCCACAGCAGACCTGTTTGCTGCGGCTGGGCTTCCTGTCATTGGAGTCGTGGGTCGAACTCCACAAATCTGAGACCGCTGGTCTCAACTTCATGGACAACTTCTCCTGCTGTGACTCCTACAAGGATTGCACTGATAAACACCAGATCTCTGGCTAATAAAACGTTCATCTTGAAGGACTTTTTCTCCTCCACCGGTCTGGACTTCATCTGCGTGACTGAGACGTGGCTCTCCTGTGGTGAGTTCATGGCCCTGTCGGAAATTTTACCACAGGACTGTTCTTATTTTAATGCTCCGAGATCATCAGGCAAAGGTGGTGGATTATTAACTATTTTCAAAAAAACGATGGAACTGCAAACTGGTACAGATACCAGTTAATTTTTTGAGCATCGAACTGCTGTGTTTTGAGGTGGGCCGTTCAAATCCTGTTTTTTCTGCTGTGTTATACAGGCCACTCAAATATAATAAGGACTTCATGGCTGAACTCTCTGACTTTTTAACTTGGATTCTGCTCAGATATGATCGGATGTTGATTCTGGGAGATTTCAATATACATGTCTGTTGCCCTGAAAAGCCGCTGACTCAGGACTTTCTAGATCTGATCCAGTCTCTGAACTTTGTACAGAATGTTGCAGGACCAACTCACCAGCACGGCCACACACTGGATTTAGTGTTAACCTTTGGTTGATCTGTTTCTGAGTTGGAAATTGGGGATGCAGTTTTCTCTGTCAACCCACTTCTTTTGTCAATGAGTCCAAACCCCCTCCCCCTCCAGCCAGGCCTTGTGGAATATTTAACCCTTCCACTGCTGCGCTCTTTTCCTCTGCTTTTACTAAAAACTCTCTCTCAGTCTGTAAATCCTCTTCCATGAACACCCATGAGCTACTCACTATACATCAAGAGACCTGTGCTAAGGTGCTTGACCTAGTTGCACCATTAAAAATTAGGGATCCAAAGCGCACTCCCCACCCTTGGATGAATGAGATCACTCGAGCAGCCAAACGTCAGTGCAGGAAAACTGAACGTAAATGGAAGAAGGACAAACTTCACGTTTCTTTTATCATGCTAAAATCATGTTACAAAGAGTACCAGGCCACTGTTAAATCAGAAAAAAACTAATATTTCTCCCAAATCATCGCCTCAAACAGCCACAATCCCAGTGTTCTTTTCAACACCATTAACTCCATTTTAACTATGCCTCAGTCTGCCAACTGGGAGGTCTCTGCAGTTACGTGTGACGACTTTGCCTGTTTCTTTGTTAAAAAGGTCGAGTCGATCAGGTCACTGATTCCTCACACCACAGCTGACCCCTCTGTCTTTGTCCCCTCCACATCAGTCTTTAACCAGTTTTAACTCATTTCCCTCTCATTTCTAAATGATGTCACTGGTCATATGAAACCCTCAGGTTCCCCTGCTGACCCCATCCCTGCATGGTTTTTTAAACAAGTCCTACCCTCCACTGGACCCTCTGTTCTTGACATTATAAACAGCAGTATGGCTGCAGGTGTAGTTCCTGATGCTTTTAAACATGCAGTGGTAACTCCTTTAATAAAAACAACCCGGACTTGACCCTTCAACCTGCTCAAACTTCAGACCCATCTCCAAACTTCCCTTTCTTTCTAAGATCCTGGAGAAAATGGTTTTCACTCAATTAAATGAGTTCTTGAGTGGAAATTCTATTCTTGAGATCTTTCAGTCTGGCTTTAAGAAACTACACAGCACCGAAACAGCCTTAGTTAGGGTCTGCAACGACATTCTTCTGGCAAATGACTCTGGTCAGTCTGTTGTCACTCCCAGGTCACTGACGAGTCCCAGAAGCTGCAGGTGGCCTGCGATTCTCATAAATCGCCTCCACCTTACAGTTTAGCTCGTAAATCAGCTGATTTTGAATACTCACAGCATGAACCAGACCTTCACACTGACTCAGAAGCTTTTCCATGGCCAAAACTGCTGCGATGTCTTCTTAAAAAGTCGATAAAACAGAGCCCCGCCAATGCCAGAAAGCAGAGTCCCTGCTATCATAAATCCAAATATGTAAATGTCTTCAACATCCTCCTGAGACAGAACTGAGAGGAACATCATCTGCCACACTCCCCACGGGTCCATGATGTACCCCACAGCGTGCGTCTCAGCTGGACACGCAGGTTCTCCAGGACCTTGTTGCTTTGTTGAAAAAATCTTTTTGATAGAGTTGAACGCCCAGGATACCAGATCCATAATCTTAATTTATGTTCGGGAGATGAGACCCAGGTGCTTCAGACACACAAAGAGCGAAGCAGGAGGAAGGAAAATCAGAAGCAGCCACCTCGATCAGAGCCAGAGAGGAAAAAACTCTTTCATTATTTTGTGAACTGTAGTTATGACACCCTTCACCAGTTTGTATTTATATCTTGTTGCATTGTTTTATTTTGTGTTGTTCATAAAGTTCTACAAAAAAAAAAACTTATGGTGAAGGGGCGTTTACCTTCGGTACAAATTGAGGTCGTCCATTGGTCATTTGCTGACATGCTTACTGGATTGATTGACAGGTTGCACAGTCGAGGATCAGACTCAGTGAAAAAAACAAACCAACCCCCCCCCCCGAGCCGCAGTGCCTGGTGCTGGGAGGAGGCGGGGCGGCACTAATGCAGCGCAGCGCTCCAAGTAAAGCAGGAGATGACCAGATATTTTGCTTGTGCCCCCACTGCCCTGGTCCTTTAGGGATCGTGGGCCCCTGAGCACTCTCCCAGTTGCCCATATGGTTAATCCGGCTTTGCATATCTTCTCTTTGTCTTTTCAACACTGCTAGTTTTTTCAAACCAAGAAGTTTTGACTCATTTGCCACAAGTCTAATTTCTTACGTACCTTCAGAAAAGGATCAGAAACAGATAAACATTTTCTTTCTAAAGCTCTGATGGAACGGCTGTCCTGGTTTTATTCATGTTCAATTTTCATTTCAAACGGTTTCCTTCACTGTCTTCGAAAATCAAAATGCTCTTTGTGTGCTGCCCCTGATCAATAACCAAAATGATCATCCTGAGACTTCCTGAGGATCAGGATGAGGTTTGGGTCCGTCCAGGTCTGGGTCCGGTGGTGTTTATGGACCGATGGTTCCCTCTAGAGTCTATGTGGATCTGAAAACTAAACAGGGATTGAAAAAGCCTGAAACCGAGCAGAACCAGAACCAAAGCAGGATTTTTTTTTCTGACTTTAGTCAACAACAGACAAACAAGTCCTATTGATTAGAAACGGATCAATAATACAGATTGATGATTTATTTCATTGATCACCTGGTCTGATATACATCATTTATACTTTCATTCAGTCTGTAGAGAAAATCAAACTGATCCATAATAAATATTGTTTATTGATCAGTGAACACACTGATTGGTGCTAAGGCACATGAGGTCAGGTGACCTGAGCAGGTGATCAGTCCTTCACCTGTCAGGAGGTCAAAGGTCATCAGCTCTTCACCTGCTTCTTCTTCTGAACAAGTTCCGCCAACATCTTGTATCGGATCATACACTCCTCCTATAATCAATACACACAATGGTGTCAGAGGTCAGTCACTGATCAGTTGCCAATCAGTCTTTTTATTGATCAGGTACTGAGTCAGTAGAATCTGTACTGATCAGGTACAGATCTGACGTCTGATCAATATTTCATGTGAAGAGCTAAAAACGTTCCTTCGGTCTGAAAACTAAATCCACAAGAACTGGTTTAACTGGTTGTAAGTACTGAAAGTGGTTCAGAATGGTGTCCGTCTCACCTTGGTCTTTCCTGGGACCACCTTAGCAATGCAGTCCCAGCGTTCTGCGGTTCCTCGGGGGAACTGTTGCAGAGCCAGTTCCAGCAGTTTCTGTTGGTTCTGAGTCCAAGCTGCTGAGTTTGGTTTCTCTTTGATCTCCTGTGGCTCCGCCTCATCCTCGTTCACAGCTGTCAGGTCAAAGTCTCTCTGTCTATGACCTCTGACCTTCCCTTCCCCACCATCTGCTGCTGAAGTCTTCCTGGTCCTCCTTCGAACCGCAAGAGCTGCTTCCTCCTCTTCATCCTCATAAGCAGCCCTCACACCTGGAGTCCAAACACCTTCATTCACAGGAAGTAAGCTCACAGGAGGAGGCGGGGCCTTTAGGTCAGAGAGCTTTACCAGACCTGTAAACATCAGAATCCTACACTGAGAGGAGAACCAGACACAACAGAACGTGTTCTTCAGCATAAAACCAGACTAATAGAACAGAACATCAGCTGAGTCCAACCTGTCAGAAAGTTGAGCCATAAACTGATTTTTTTCATTCAACCTTTATTTATACAGGTTAATCCCACTCAGGGGATTTACCTTAAGAACCCAACACTAACAAGAACACTGGTAAAGACTGAACCGTAGAACTGCAGAATAGAGCTACATTTTTTCATCGTACACGTCGCTCTGCACTGTAAGTCACATCCGTCCATATTTTTCTAATAAAGTGGAAAAATCCATAAATATGTCGCTTCTATTATGCGTCACCGCAGACAACCCAGAAATGTGGGCCGGTGTTGTGCCAAAAATTGATTGGCTGCCAAATGGCGGCCGCAGGAGTGTGCACGGGAGGACTTCAACAAGAATTTAACAAGAGCAACACCTAAAAACAATTATTTGTTTGCTCGAAATCACAGTAAATGTGTGTCTCAGTGTAACTTTTGCTTAATAAACGCACTTTGATGGTCAAATCAGCCGCATTTCAAAAGCCAATATGTGGAAGTAAACGCGTGCACGAGACGAGTCGCTGTGCAAATTTAACAGGATAAACACCTAAAAACAATTATTTGTTTGCTCGACTTTAACGGACACGGGCACCGGCGACCCCCATGACACAAAATGGAAGAAGTGGGTAAAACATAATGGATGGACTCTATAGTAAAGGTGTGTCTCAGTCTAATTTTTGCTTAATCAAAGGACTTTAATGGTCAGATCAGCTGAATTTCAAGTATCCACTGCCTCTATGCTCCCAGGAGCAAGCAGTCAGGGAGGGAAAAGGAAGGAGGAACACTGCACGTTTCTTCACAATTTAACAAGATAAGCACCTAAAGAGAGAGAGAGAGCTGGAGCAAAGAGAACAACCTTCACATCAATGTGAAGAAGACAAAGGAAATGGTTGTGGATTTCAGAAGGAACAAACTCACCCCCCCCCCCCCCCCCCCCGAACACAAGAGGATCTGCAGTGGAAGTGGTCTCCAGCTACAAGTACTTGGGTGTGCACCTGAACAACAACCTCAGCTGGAGCAACAACACCACCAGCCTGATCAAGAAAGCTCATCAGAGACTCTACTTCCTCAGACGGCTGAGGCGAGCTGGTCTGGAAGCTCAGTCCTCACCTCCTTCTACAGGTGTGCAGTGGAGAACATCCTGTGCTCCAGCATCAACGTGTGGCATGGAGGCTGCACAGCTGCAGAAAGAAAAGCTTTGCAGAGAGTGGTGAAGGCTGCACAGAAGATGTTGGAGTCAGTCTCCCCACCATCACAGACATCTACACCTCCAGATGCAGGAAGAGGGCCACCTGCATCATGAAGGACCACACTCACCCAGCACACACACTTTTTGCCCTGCTCCCCTCAGGAAGGAGGTTGAGGAGCATTAAGTGTAGAACCAGTAGACTGAGGAACAGCTTCTACCCTGAGGCTGTTACACTCATGGATCTATAACCAGAATAATCACTGTGAAAAACCACATCATGTTGCTGCTGATCTGTTTCAATGTTGCTGCTGATCTGTTTCATGTTGCTGCTGATCTGTTTCATGTTGCTGCTGATCTGTTTCAATGTTGCTGCTGATCTATTTCATGTTGCTGCTGATCTGTTTCATGTTGCTGCTGATCTGTTTCAATATTGCTGGTGATCTGTTTCATGTTGCTGCTGATCTGTTTCAATGTTGCTGATGATCTGTTTCAATGTTGCTGCTGATCAGATGTAGAAGAACATATATCTGTGATATATTATCCATAAATTAAACGGATTCTTTCATTTTTCTGGACTGAATAATATCGTGCATTGAATGATTAAATGTGACGTGAGACGTTAATTTTCTTTGACCCATCAAATGAATGCGGTCATTTATTAACAGAATAAAAGTTTAACATCAAACATTTACATTAATTTGGCAACATTGATTTCAACAACAGCTTAATTAATTAGCTTTACAGTCAGAAACCATACGGCCATGGTATCTGGGTTAAGCTTTACAACAGACATTTCTGAAAATATCTGGATGATTTACTGGCAAGATAGAAGAGTTTTAAAGATGGGAAATGAAGTTTAAATGGAGAGGAAAGATGGATGAGGGAATATGTGTCTGTATCAGAACGGCACTCTACATCAGAACCCAGCTTCACCTCGGTACACTTAGGTGGTGGAAATCGACTCTTTACCTGTAGAAGATGCCTCCACTGGTACGGAGTTCCATTTAACGCCACCTTTCCAGCGTCTCTGTAGGAACAGCTGTGAATCGTCCGAAGTAGTGACGGAACTTCGTTTGACACACGTTCACTCTATTCTATGATCACGAATCATAGAATAGAGTAACCTTAAGAGCTCAACACTGACGAGAACACTGGTAAAGACTGAACCGTAGAACTGTAGCACAGAGTTACCTGAAGAAACCAACACTGACAAGAACAATGGTAAAGACTGAATCATAGAACCATAGAATAGAGTTACCTGAAGAACCCAACACTGACGAGAACGCTGGTAAAGACTGAATCATAGAATCATAGAACAGTTACCTGAAGAAACCAACACTGACAAGAACAATGGTAAAGACTGAATCATAGAATCATAGAACAGAGTTACCTGAAGAACCCAACACTGATAAGAACAATGGTAAAGAATGAATCATAGAATCATAGAATAGAGTTACCTTAAGAACCCAACACTGACAAAAACACTGGTAAAGACTGAACCGTAGAACCATAGAAAGGAGTTCCCTCAAGTACCCAACAGTGACAAGAACACTGGTAAAGTCTGAACCATAGAACCATAGAAAGGAGTTCCCTCAAGAACCCAACACTGACAAGAACACTGGTAAAGACTGAACAGTAGAAATGTAAAACGGAGTTACCTGACGTCTGGGTAACGCTGTCTTTCACCTGTTTGACTTTAGTCGTCACCTGTTCAAGAAAACACGCAGTCAGAGACTAGAGGTCCTCAGATGGATGTCAGCTTCTAGATCTAGAACAAGAACATGAAGCAGGAACAGGTCCTGCTTGTCCAAGCAAACATCTATAAGAATGAGAAATGTTCAAACAGACTCACATCAGAAACCGAGCGTCCAAGCTCCTGAGCGATCTTTTCCCATCGACCTGGCGATCCTCCTGGGAATTTAACCATCAACCTACTGAGAACACTCAAATCGTCCTCTGTCCAGTTGGCAGCCTGAAGACACAGAAACAAACTGAGGACAATAGGGCAGACAACAGAAAGAAACTAACTGATGACATAAGGATGACAGACTGAGGACAGAAGAGAAATAATCTGAGGACATAAAGAGGACAGATGGTGGACAGATTGAGTTCAGATCAAAGATAAACAAGACCAGACCTCCTTCTTGGCAGCTTTGCGGTCCTGAAGCCAGTCATCCATCTGGTTTTCGATGTCCTCAATGGACGTGGTCTGCTCATACTTCTGGTATCTCTGGGTCTCTGAAGAAGGCTGGTACACAGGAAAGTCCTGTTTGGGTTTCTTGGCCTTTGGCCTTTTCTCTCCTGCAGTTGGGATCAAACTGTTGAGTTATTGGTTCTGTTGGAGAACAAAATGATAAAAACAACTAAAGTCTGAAAGAAAATTAGTTGTAGAAAACAAACAACAGTAGAAGGATCGACAAAAGTTAAGTCAGGTCCTCTGGATGGGTTTAAAAACAAAAAAATGTAGAAACGTTTCATCTTTCATTCAAAAGATTTCAGTCTGAGGAGCTGTATTCAGCTCAGTCTCTTAAATAGCACCTTCTCAAAGTGGATCAACCAGTTTTGCTGCTGACAATCAAAACCAGCTGATCACATGCTCAAGAAGGACCATCAGCCTAACAATGGATCATTAGCACCTGATGGCTGTTTACTATTCACAGAGGGCTGAGTGCTACTAGAAATCACAGCATTGTAAGAGGGGGACAGTTGAACCTGGAGGCCTCCACCCCTGTTTAATGATGGATGATTTCTTTTCACAAAGATGGCCTCCTTTACTCCTCTCTCAAACCATCATTCCTCTCTGTCCAGGATGTGAACATCTTCATCACTGAAAGAGGGACAGCTGGCCTGGAGATGAGTGTAGACCACAGAGTCCTGGCCTGATGGTGTTGATCTTCTGTGCTGGTCCATCCTTTTGGCCAGTGGCTGTTTAGTTTCCTCGATGTAAGACTGATCACCCTCCTGACACTGAACAACAAACACAATATTACTCTAAAAAAGTTAAATCTGGTCCTCTGGACATTCAAAAAAACAAAAC